GGAGAGAGAAGCAGGAACTTCCAGCATCGCCCTCCAACCACCCGCCCTGTAGAAAAGAGAGACAGGATCGTTTACTTGTTCATAAGTTTGACTTGACTTTGCTTTAAAAACAGATGTCAACGAAATTAAGACTACCATTTCTTGACAAAATACCCAAACCGTGAAAAAATATGCAGTGCTGAGAAAATCATACAGTGAGAGTTGAGCTTTCTTTCTCAAACATAATATCGTTAAAATCTACCACTAACCCTGTGTTCGTGAACGCAGTATAACCGATGCTGAATTCCTTTTTTAAAATAAGATAAAAGAGGGGACTTTGAAGTAGAAAAAAAAAGGGGGGGGGGCTTCTTCGCACATTACAAAATCTTCAAACCCAAACAAACACACTGTAAACAGCTTAAATGAGATTGAAATAGTATTATTGTTGGGGTTTTTTTGTTACTGTAAAAGCTATTTGGCATGGAGCACGTGACTGGTGTGAAAGGGAAAAGACAGACAGAAACCCAAGCCTGCGCCATCCCTCAGCAGAGATTACGTCACCAGGGACTGGAACATGGCACAAACGGCCAGACAGTAATCATAAGAGACGAAGATTGCAGCAAGCCTGTGGTCGATCAGAGCAGCTGTATGACTTTAGTTTCAGCAAGAGTTTTACGGCACTTGCAACACAATTTGGTAATAAAAGTGTCGAAGATTAGGGGTTCTACTTGAGAGTAATGTACTAAAAAGTAAGAGGAGAGAACAAAGAAGACATATGTTAGATAAGAAAGAATGAGCAAACCACACCATAAGCTGAATGTCTACTTGTTTGTATTTTATTTATTTGTTTGTTTAAGATGAAAACTCTGGCTGGGACTTGGTCTGGAGAAATCAAAGCCAGAATCCCTTCTGCATTAAAAAAGAATAATCACAAAGGACAAAAATGTCTTATCTATTGAGTTATTGTGTTGTATTCTCGCATAAAGAAAACGTGTTTCGCCGCAAACGAGGCCGTGTCAAGAATGTTCACAATACGATAATCTCATATACTGCCTGAGACAAAGAAGAGGATATTTGTGATCGGCCCCTGTCGCCCTTAACGATATTATTGAATAGAAAAGGATACTCCCTTTGGACAAACAGACCGATTATATTGAGCATTTTTGTTTTTGTTCTTTAGGCGTTCTTCTTTAGGGTGGGGCTGTTTTAAAAGGCAGGAAAGGGAAAGGGTAAAGTAGGGATGAGAGGATGGGGGGGTGTCTGGAGAGGTTTCAAGCGAGTTTAAGACGATAAAGACAACATTGTTGTTAGGAAAGATGACTCCACTCAAGGGAAGGTAGAAGCAACAAATATCACGGAAGGGAAATTCTGGAATAGGGGAAAAAGAAGTTAAAGAGAACGAATTCTGCGGATCAAGGATTCACATAGAAAATGGGAAAATATCTTGAACATTTACTACAATAAATTCAATGGGAGACAAGGACAGGATTGGAGATAGGGAGACAGGTATATTTGCAGCACGGGATTTATTCTGCAGTATTCTGCAGCATACAGGAAAGGAAAGATTAATAAAGGGGGGGGGGGATACGTGTTTCTTTTTAACAAATAGGTCATTTCGAAGTCAGAACATTAGCCAAGTGGTTAAAGCAAAGGGATAAAAACGGAAAGAAAGGAGCCAGAAATAATACAGGAAAGAATGACACACGAGCAGACTGGAGCACTTTACGGAATGTGCTTCCTGTGGAAAGGCAGTGTACTAATTTGAGCCC